CCGCCCCACCGTCTTCGGTGGTCAACTCCACCGCCAGCGAGGGCGTCTGCCCGGTCAGTGCGCTGCCGTTGGCGAGGGCGAGCAGGACGCCCTCCTGTCTGGTGGTGCGGAAGTCGAAGCTGATGTCCGCCTTCAGGCCCAGGTTGAAGGCGTCATCGTAGACGGCAAAGCTGGCGCCCTCCACGCCGGGGAAGTAGCTGCCCTTTTCGATCTCCGTGAAGCAGGTGCCCACGCCATCGGGCAGACGGGGCAGAGAGCGGAAGTCAATGGCGCGGTCATTGAGGAGGACCTTGCGCACGCAGCCCTTGAAGCCCTCCAGAGTGGGCAGGAAGGTGGCACTGGCGCTCACCGCCCCATTGTTTGTCGCCGTCTGCAGCTCGTTCTCTGCACTGCTCTGGCCACCTGCGTTCGAAGCGCCAAAGATGGCAAACTCCTCGGGAAGGCCGCCGATGAATGCCTGGATGCCGCGCTTCAGTGCCAGCCGCCGCTTCGGCTTGCTGTTCTCTACGCGGTCCTTCAGGTCGACGTTCATCCACAGCGAGAGCTTCTTCCGACCGGCCAGCACGTGGTGCCACTTGCCGTCGTTCAGCTTGCGCGTCGATGAGCTGTGCAGTTCGACGTAGTGGCGGTCGGACATCTTCATGCGCAGCAGCACCGTCCCGTCGACCAGCGCCACCACAAAGACGGGCTTACCGGGTGTGCTTCGACTGCTCGACTGCTGCTGCTGATTGTGATGGCTGCCCCTGGCCAGCGTAAAGAGAATGCCATTGGGGTAGAAGCTGCGGAAGGCAAAGGACAGGCTAAAGTCCGCGTAGAACTCATTGTCCTCGGTGGGCAGCTGAATGTAGCTGCTGTTGGCGGAGCGGCGGCTGTCGCCGAAGGCCATGGCGTCCATCGCCGTGGTGGTGAGCATGGCGTGGTGCGGCGAGGCGCAGGCACTGCTGTGGCCGTAGTGCTCCGCCGGAATGGACATCATCTGGTCGTAGAGGTCGTCGTAGAGAAGCGACGAGGGAGGTGGTTGCTTCGGGGAAACATTGCTGTGCTGAGAGGTGCTCGTGCTGGTCGCCTTCACGTGGCCCCGGTTGATGGTGCCCGCCAGCACGTCGGTGCCGCCCCAGCCCCAGTCGAGGGAACCGCCCTCGCGGCCGATGCCCACGCCTCTGAACTGCACCGGCTTGTTGAAACTGAGCAACTTTGAGTCGAAGACCATGTCCCGAATGACGCCGTGGAAGTTGGTGGCGTAGCCCTTGTTCACCGAGTTGAAACCGTACGCTGAAAAAAATTGGAAGGTATTACTTTATTTTACAAAAACTCCTTTTACAAAGCACTTACGCGTTCCACCGATAAAGAGGCCGCCAGTGGGCGGCGCATCGATGCCCCTCGCCTTGACCAGCTTCTGCGGCGGACTCTCAAATTCGTCGTCCATGTAAATGGAGAAGCGACGGCCGTCCTTAATGCAGGTCACCGTGTGATAACGCCCGTCGGCGACATTGACGCCCTCAAAGTGGTAGAAGGTCTCAGAGCCGCCGCCGCCGTTCAGGCGCACCTCCAGCATGCCATTGCTGATGTAGAAGAAGTAGTAGTGCTGGATTTTAGAGTGGAAAATAAAAGTTGTTATTTCAAAAACTACTCAAGATTTCAAGACAGCACTCACCTCCTCCTTCGCTCTCGACTTGCCCTCAAAGGTGGACAGCAGGAGAATGCCGCTCTTTCGCGTCGTCTTGAAGGTGAAACTAAACTCCACCTTGTCCTCCTTCAACGGCCGTCCGTCCAGCTCGAGGAAGCCGTCGCCGCGGAAGCTGGCCACCCTGATCGGCCGGTTCAGACATCCCGGCTCAATGCCAAAGGACTGGATGCGCTGCAGGTTTATGGGCGTGGTGCCAATCTGCGGACTGTTCATGCAGCCGACGAAGCTGCTGAAGACGACGCCCGGATACTCGGCAGTGCTGAAGTTGGGCGTCACGCCGCCAAAGTACACCTCCGCGCGGGAGAGATCAAGGTTGGCGGCGGCCGCTGCGGCATTTCCTCCGGCCAGCTTCTTCTCCGTGATGCGCCCATTGCCGAGATCAAGCACTGCGTAGTCGAGCTCACGTTCCGCCCTCAACTGCACCCACCCGCCGGTGTTCACCTTCTCGGCGGAGACCACCGTCAGTGTCGTGCCCGAACCGGAACCGGAACTGGCCGATCTTCCCGTTCCAAAGTGCGTCTCATAGTAGACCTTGCCGTCCTTCAGGTAGATGGCCACGTAGTCCCTGGTGAGCGGATTGGCAGTGAAGAAGAGCAGCGCGTCCTCGTCAAAACTGCGGAAGCTGAAGCTGACCAGGTAGGTGCTGGGGCTGTAGCCGCGCGCCTGGCTCGTCCTTCCGTAGCCGAACTCGTCGTTGAAGTTGTACATTGTCGGGTCTATGGGCTCAGTGGCGCCCTCCTTGCAAGCGTCGCAGCCAATGTTGGAGGTAAAGTTCCACAGGCCGACCTTCTTTCCGTCCAGGTGGAGCTCGTAGAGGCAGCCGGCAAAGCTGCGGGCCTGAATGAGGCGCGATGGCTGCATTAGATCCGGTGGGAGGCCGCCAATGTAGAAGTAGGAGTTGCGGTCGAGGTCCATCCTCTTGGCCACTGACTCATCGGAGGACTGCAGCGATTCGCTCACCTCGAAGGGATCCTGGGTGTTCGCATCTGGCACCCGCTGTACGGTGAGATTGGCCACACTGCCGAAGCGCTTCACCTCAATCTTGTACCACTTTGAGTCCTTGTTCAGCTGCGCGTCATTGGTGGCAATGGGCAGCTGGTGCTTGATGATGCGCTCCGACTTGCCGGTGCTCCAGATGAAGCGAATCTTGCGGTTCTTCATCTCCACTGCCATAAAGTCGTTGGACATCTGTCCGTTGTTGGACGGTCGGGCGCCCAGGTACAGCAGCAGTGCGTCCTGCTGGTGCTCATGCTTAATGGCGTAGTACAGCACAATGTTGTTGGTGAAGGACGGTTCAATGTCGGCCTCATAGGTTCGAATGCAGGTGTTCTCGCGGTCCGCTNGTTCGAATGCAGGTGTTCTCGCGGTCCGCTCCCAGTGAGATGCGAATGCTGGCCGCCTTCTGCCGCGCAAGGGTGATCTTCATCTTCAGGTCGCGCAGGTTGAGGTCGAGGCCACTTCTCAGTCGGTCCACCACCGTCATCTTCGTCTCCACCCTCACCAGGCCCTCCTTCGCCTGTTGGATCATCCGCAGCGTCTGCTCAATCTGATCCTTGGGCCCATCGAGGCCGGTGGTGGTCGCCGCTCTCAGGCCTTCCAACTTACCGCGCAGACCGTCGATGCGCGCCGCCAGGTCGTCCACGCGACCGTGCGTCCGCTCCAGAGTGGACAGCAGCGATCGAAGGCGGTCAATCATCAGGTGCAGGTCGCGGGCGAGGTCCTTCGGCAGGGCGTCCAGTGCCGCCTTGATGTACTCCAGGTCGTGGCGACCCGACTCGAGCAGGGAGTCAATCTCCTCCAGCATTCGTCGTCGCTCGAGAAGGTCCTCGTGCAGCTTGAAAAGCCGTTTGGCGAGTTCATCCGCCTGCCTTAGCAGCTCCTCACTGCGTTTCCTCGAGGCAATCGCCTTCTCCAGCAGCGACTCATCGCCGTCGGGAAAGACGTGCTTGTAGGCCTCCTCCGCCGCCTTCTTCGCCTGCTGGGCGGCCAGCTCTGCCTCCTGAATTGCCTTGATGATGTTCTCGTAGACCTGCGCAGCACGGAGGGCAAACTCAGCCATGTCCTTCGTTTGGTTGAAGAGGCGTGCCAGTTCATCGACCCGCCTCATCAGCGCCTCCGCGTGTTCCATACACGGCTTCACGTACCGCTCCTCATAGTCGGGGTTGAGACGGGCGAGGATGGATCGCCGCTGCTCAATCACCTCGGTCAAGTTGACCATCTGCGCCACCAAACCTGGCAGTGCGGCAAACTTCATCTTCGTGTCGTACAGCTCGGCGCGAATCTTCTCCAGCAGATCTCGCGCCTCCACCAGCGTCACATTGGCCGTCTCGGCGTTGCGCGAGCTGTTGTCGATTTGTTCGTAGATGGCCCGCACCTTGGGGCGAAGCGGGGCGAGCGTGGTCAGCGCCTGTCGCGTCTCAGGGAAGATCTTCTTGTTGATCAGCTCGTAGATCTCGTTCAGCAGGCGGAGCAGCTTGTCAAGGCGGTCAGTGTACGGGCCGGTCTGGTTGCGCTCCGTCAGCATCCTGCGGACTTTCTCCAAGAGGAAACGAGCCCACTTCAACTCATTATCGCCGGCTCCCCGGTGCGGCCCAAAGTCGCGGTGGCGCAGCTCTAGGAGAATGCGCTCCGACTCTTCGAGCATCCGCTCGGTGGCGCTGCCCAACGGGTCGTGAGCGTCCACGCCGAAGCGTTTCAGCTGCGCGATAATGTTCAGTATGAGCTGCCAGAGGTCGGCAATCAGGTCCTTGACGTTTTGTGCTCTGCCGAGTGCCGTCTGCGCATCAATGGCCACCGAGGGCGACTGACGGGCAAGGTCTCGCGCCTTCAGCATCAACAGGTCGGCCAGCGTCTCCAGGTCAAAGTTGACGGTGAAGTTGTTGACCATGTCCTTGGCGAAGCGGATCCGTCCGCGGAAGATGTTCATGTTGTGCACCGTTCGGTTGAGGTTCTTCGTCAGGTAGAGGAGGCGCGTCCAGGGGAGGTTGGCCACGTCGGTCAGGTTTGCCTCCTGAACGATCGACTTGAGGAAGTCGACGTCATCGAGGAGCAGACCGGTGCAGTCGTCGTCGCAGTTGAGGCAGCCAGTGTCGGTGACCACATGTCTCGGTGGACAGTTGGAGCAGTCGTGGCCGGTGATGCCCTCCTTGCACTTGCACTGGCCCGTCTGCTTGTCGCAGATGTTACTCAGCGAGCCGATGGGCGAGCACTGGCAGGG